CTCTGAGCTCTACCACGAGCTCAACCAGAAGTTCCACACGCTGGACAGGTACCGGGCTCCGTCTGCCGGCTCCTCCAAGGTGAGGTCCTGGGGGTCCTGTCCTGCCCTGCTCTGCCCCTCTGCAACCCATCACCTTCTCCTCCTGCATGGGCTGGGGCATCCCAGGAAGGGTGAGGGGTACAGAGCATCCAGGAATGATGCAGGAGCTGAGCTCTGTGGGTTTCTCCGCAGCGAGAAAAGCGGTGGAGCGTCTCGTCGGGCGGCGGGGAGAAGAGCACGGCCAACGTGAGTCCTGAGCCCCCTCTGGGGGGGTTACCCCACCCCATCCCGGGCAGGGCCAGAGGGTGGAGCGGGTGGCTGTGCACGTCCCCAGCCACTTCCCACAGCTCCTCCTCGCCCCGCAGGACGTGGCCAGCCCCGAGGAGCAGCGGCCGCAGGCCCCAGCCGCGCCGCCGAAGCCATGGAGCACGTTCAAGGCGATGACGCTGGGCGCCCTGCCCAGCGCCCAGCGGGACCGGCTGGAGCTGTGCCGGGCAGACTGGGAGAGCCCCTGCGCCGGCCTGGACGCGGCCGACGGCGACTTCCAGACGGAGGTGTGAGCCCCGCGCCCATCGCCGCCGCCCCCGGCCCGCGCGGGGCTGGGACGAGCCGAGAACGCTGGGTTTGCTCCGTCGGGGGGTCCCTGCCTGACCGGAGCCGTGTCCCCCCTGGGAGGGCCCACGCTCCCCCCGGCGCAGCCGCCTCCCGCCTGTCCTCGTGCGGTTCCTCCTCCCGCCACCCCCCGGAGGCAGGTGCAGAGGGGACCCGCGCACCCCCCCATGCTCACCCACGATCACGCCTGCACCCCCACGGGGCAGGACCGGCCGTCGAGGCCCTCAGACCTTCGTTCTTTTCTACCGGGATGTTTCTTCACGCCGTGCACCGTGTGCACGCGAGCGGCCGCTCCCCCTTCTCCCCCCTGCCCGGGGATCCCCCCTTCCCCGGGGCCCCGTGGCCGTCCCCTCCCAGCCCTCCCCACCATCCCCACCCCACGGGGCAGGTGCTGTCGTTGTTGGAAATAAAAGTTCACTCTCTGTGGTGCCGTGGGGCCGTGGCCGTCGCCTGGTGCTTCGTGTCAGGGTCCAGCTGGGGAGGGGGTGGCTGTCACCCAGTGGGGTCCTCCGGCCTCCCTGCATCCCCCTGGCCCCCTCCCCACCTGCAGGATCCCACCAGCCGGGGCTGATGCCGCGCCCGGGCACTGCCGTGCAAATGAGCGTCTTATCGCAGGAGCTGGGAGCACTTAATTACACGGTAATTAATCTGTGAGCAAATTAGGAACTTGGGAGGCAATTGCCATGCAGAGGCGTGTCAGGTGGACTGCCTGGCACTGCAGGAGCATCCCGGCATCCGGAGCTGGGCGGTGCAGGGCGGGAGTCTCCAGGGATGGGTGCTAGGGCAGCAGGAGAGGCAGGCATGGCCAGGAATGCCAGGCTCCAGACCAGGAGCTGTGCTGGGATAAGAGTGCTGGAGGAGAGGACATCTCTGCCTGGTGGCTCTCAGCACATCAGGGACTAGAGATTTGGGCTGAGTGTGGATCAGGTGCCCAGGCAGCTCGGCTGGACTGTGGCACTGAAAGCCTCCTGCCGTGGTGTGCCATGAGGTGCCAGGGAGGGATGTGTGGCTGTGGTGACAGTGGGAAGCAGGTCCTGCTCTTGGCTGTTGCCTGTCTGGGAAAGGCCACCTGAGCTTCCCAAGGGCTTCAAAGAGGACAGGCTTGGCACAGGCAAAGGAGGCTGCCCAGTTTGGGCTGGTGGCCACTGCCCAGTTCAGATCTTGGGTCCCCGTGGGCCGGGCCAGGCTAGGAGATGCTGCTGCCAGTCACTGGGACACTGGGCAGGATGTGGCCCTCGGACAGGGGCTGCCTTGGGGCTCAGCTGTGGCTCCCAGCCCTGTGGAGGGTGTGGGGTGAGGGTGATGCTGTGGGTCAGGGGCACTGTTCCCTAGTGAGGGTGTTCTCCTACTGGGATTGGCCACTAATGCCACATCCCCTCGCTCTGGTTTCTGGGAGCCACCATGCTCTGGGATCCCCCTGCCCTCGGTTTAGGGGGATCCAGGGCCTGCTCCAGCTCCCCTCCTCTCCTTCCCAACCAAACACAGCCGTGAGAGGCAGCGTCAGGGTTTCCTGGGGCATCTGTTGGCAATTAGCAGCTTTTATTACTCATGGAGACGCCATATGTGGGGAGGGAACAGAGCCCAGGAGGGAGGCACAGGCTCGTGGAGTGTCCCAGCACAGGGGACACGGGGACAGCCCCCAGTCCTGTGGGTCTGGGCAGTGATGGGGAATACTGGGGGAAATCGGAGCAGGATGGAGAGCTCTGGGGCCATTTTCCATCTGCAGCTTCCATCTGAGCCAGGCTGTGTCCCCCCAGTGCCAAAAATGTGCAGTTTTGGGGGGCGGAAATGATGGAGAAGGAGCTCTGGGGCTGCGCAGTTGAGGGGGGTGGGGACAGGAGATCTCTGGCGCTTCACCCTTCACTTATTGGGAAGGAAAATCCCTCCAAAAGAGGCAAAACTGCAGTTTCAGCGCCGCAGAAACGAACAGCCCTGTGAAGCTGGAAAGAATTCCTGCAGGCACTTTCCTTCCTGACTGGAACTGTGTGTTGGGATGGGGGTGGTGTTGTGCCTGGATTGGTGCAGAAATTAATGCTGAACCACTGAAATCCTCGCCGCAGGAATTCCCTCCTCTGCGTTGTCCGAGCCGGCGTCACCCCAACCCTCATCCCCCGGCTTTGTGGGGGCTTTGTGGGGCTGAGCTGGGCCTGGGAAGCGGGGGAGCCCCCAGGGTAACACAAGCGCCGCAGCTGCCGCGTGACGCGCGGGGTCGGAGGCAAATTGTCTCCAGCCCGAAAATTGTCGGGCTCTGCTCCGGCTCGTGTTTCTTGGCAGCCAGCGCGGCAGTTTCTTGGAAGCGCGGCGCGCCTCTGCTTTTTCCATGCTGGGTTGGTGGGCAGGGGCTGCAGGATCCTGCCTTCCATCCCCCAGCTCGGCAGCGCTCCAGGGGATGCCGGCACAGAATGCTGGGGGAGGCAGGATCCGGCCCCTTTCCCTCTGGAGATGCCGATCCCGTGCGCTGGAACGGCCGCGGGAAGCGGGAGCTGCACGGAGCGGTTTTTCCACCCTGCTGCCGGCCCTGTGCTTTTGGGGATTTTGAGGTGCCTTCGTGCCACTGGACTGGGGACAACCAACCCAGAAAACGAGGGAAATTGAGGCATGGGATGGGCAGTGAGAGGGATGAGTGTGACACCCCCTCCCCCCAAATTCATCCACAGCTGAACTGAGGGTTCTGGAAGCCACTGGTCGTGCAAGAGGTCTGGCTGGACAAGGGACAAGGCTGACCTCTATCCCTGCTCTGCTGTGGGGCGAGATGTGGCTTTGGGGTGGGCTGTGGGGTCAGTTTTGGGGCCATGCCCCCTGCCCACAAGACACACAAACCCCACCAGTGCCCCTGCACCGGGTTCGTTGCTGCTGGGAGGCCCCAAACAAGGAACAGCTCGAGGTGAACAGCCATCCGAAAAACAGGAATTGTAAAAGTTTCGTTGTGTTTCGTTCCCACTTGCTTTAATTACCCTTAATTACCTCAGTAGGCATCTCGGAGGAGCGTCGAGTGCTCTGTCACCACGTCTGGGGCTGGCGGGTGAGTGACTGGCGGAGTGGAGCTGCTGGGTTTGCCCACGACAGCTTATTTACTGTCTCTGACTAAACAGCAGTTGTTAATTAGCCCGTTTATGGAGATACATGCATCCCTCACGCGTTTGTAAAGCTGCAGCCTAGATAGATTCATCACAATTTGGGAGGAAAGCAGCTGAGCCAGGGCCTGGTGCCATGCTGGGCATCACTGGAAGCAGGGATGCAAGGATGGGGGTGCCAGTGGATGCCTGGAGTGCCCCAGACCCAAACTTTGCGTGGGGTGGGCTTGTTCCCTGCCTCCTCCCTGCCTGTGGGGGATCAGGGTGCCCCAGCACGTGTGGGCAGGGGATGATGGAGCAGAGCTGGGCAGCCAGGCCCCAGGGCAGCATTCCAGGCTGGCACGTCCTAGCGGGCGCAGAGCTGGGAGCTGGGATGGGTGCCGGATCCCTGCAGGGCTTGGCGAGGCTCTGGGAAGTCTGGGAAGCTCTGCCGCTGGGGACATGGCAGCAGCACAGTGCCAGCGGGAGGGGTGGTGGCAGGGATCCCGTCTCAGGGCTCTGACCCCAAGTGCCCTGTCCTGAGCCAGGCTGTCCCCAAGCCACCCCAGGGCACCGGGGATGGGACAGCAGCTCCGTGTCACAGCGGGGTCTACCTGCCCCGACGCCTCGGGGTCTGCCGGGAGCTGCTCCTCCGGAGTAGCATCCCTGAGAACCATTCCCCGAGGTCTGCCCCAAAGGGACAGACATTCTGGCCAGCGGTGCCACCAGCGGTGCCAGCACAGAGGTCCCCTCCGGTCCCCGTGGGGAGGAAGAGCTGCTCTGCAGGGATGACAGCCAAGGAACTGGTTTCACTCCCACCCCCGGGATCGGGGTTCCCTCCTCCGGGCGGTGATCCAGCCCCTCGAGGTGGGGGAAGGCGGGTGGGGAGGGGAAGGAGGGCGCTGCCGGGGGAGGCACCCAGGGCGGAGGAGGAGGAGGAGGAGGAGGAGGAGGAGGAGGAGGGCGGGGATGCGAAGGCGGGCGGTGGCGCAGGCCCCCGGGTTGGGGGGGCGGAGGGCGGGCAGCGCTGGGGGCGCTCAGGCCCCGGAGGGAGGCGGGGAAGGCGGCGGGGGCGGCGCGGCGGCTCCCGGTGTCCCGCGGCGGAGTTCCCGGTGTCCCGCACCGTCCGGGCAGCCCCGTCCCCGCCGAGCCCCCGCGCAGGTGAGCCCCGCACAGCCCCGCACCGGGAGCGGGCAGAGCCCGGCAGAGCCGGCCCCGCGGCGGGGCGGGACGGGACAGGACAGGGCGAGCAGGGGATTCCCCGTTAATAAGCGGAGTTAATCACCGCCCCGGGGCCGTGGGGACCCGCCGGTGCCGGAGGGTGCAGGGTAGGGAAGGCGGGGAGCGGGCGGGGGAGATGGGGAGCAGGGCGGGGAGCACTGGCGGGGGTGGGGGAGTTCAGGAGTGGGCGCAGGGGTGGGTGCAGGCAGTGGTAGACCAAGAGAGCCGGGAGGCAGCAGAAAGGAGCCGGGAGGTGCAGGGGTTGTGTTTTGGGATAGGGGGGCTGGGTCGCAGGCAGGGAGAGCAGGGGGTGCGAGAGAGCCCAGTGTAGAGGTGGGTCCTCACTCAGAGGGGTCCCTGCACACGAGGGTCCCCGGGTGCTGTGCGTGGGATGAAAGCTCAGGGATGCACGTCCCGGTCTGGCAGCAGCCAGTGGAGCCGGAGTGTGTCCGGTTTGTCCCGACTCTGTCTCCCTCCGTGCAGCCCGGCATGCCTCGTGGCAGGAAGCAGGAGGGAGGCCAGGTCGGGGTGACCTGGAGGGCCTGGGACACCCTGGGATCCACTCTGGACCCGGAGACAAAACAGGAGGGAGCGAGACCTTCCGGGGGGGTTCATGCAGTAGGTGCCCATGAGATCCCTACTGGGAATCTCAGTCTTCACGTTTCCGGATGTTTGGAGTGAATCCAGGTGCTCTGATTGGACTGAACCCATGGGATGCTGGGGCTTGCCCTGTGTGCTTGGGGTGGGTGTGCAGCAGATGGTGATCCAGCAGTGGATGGGGGGAAGCCGCACTGACCTCCAAAACTTGATGGAGCCATGGCCAAGAGGGTCAGCACCAACTCCATGCTGGTGGCTTTGCTGGCAGTATCCCAGTGTTGGCAACCTCATGGGCTGGTGCCCACCACGTGCCCATCCTGCTGCTGCCCAATGTCTCTCCCTTGCAGGCAGCTGTGTTGGCCCTGAGCTGCTGCCACGGGCACCATGAGGGGTCTCTGGGCCCTCGTGCTCGCGGGGCTCATCAGTGCCTGTGAGGGGAAGGAGCTGCCACCAGCGGAAGGTAAGGGACACTGGGAGGGAAAGCTCAGGGTCTGCACTGGAGCAGCCCCCTCCTTGCATGTCCCTGGGAAGCCTTTGGTCAGACCTAGGGATGGCAGGGTGGCTGGGGACACCGTGGTCCCCACGTGCCACGACCGGTGTGGTGGCTGCGGACGTCGGCTCCCTGCTGCGCGCCGGCCAGCCCGGGCTGCGGGGCTTTGCTCAGCATCCCGTGTGGGCAGGGGGCCAGGGAGAGCTGAGCGAGCCCAGCCATGGGGAGCCAGCCCAGGGACACCCCTGGCCGTGCTCATGGAGGGACTGGGCTTGGCCGCGCTCCGGCCGCGCCACGCTCGGTGCCAGCTGGCAGCGCCGGCAGCGCGTCCGGCAGCACGTGTGGGGTAAGGTGAGCCAGGACCACTCAGGGCTGTGGCAGGGATGCACAGAGCTCCCAAGGGAGTTTTGGCCTCCAGCTGCGAGCTGGGAAGAGGTTTGGCCGTGGTCCACGCTGTGGTGGGGGCTGGGGGCTGTCCACGTGCAGCAGGGGACAGGGGGACGATGACTGAGCCCACGGGGGTCTCTGCCGGGGTGTCCCTGGCCATGAGGTCACTGTGCCTGGGTCCCGGTGTGGGATGAGCTCAAGGCGGATGCCGGGGAGGAGCCGCTGGCAGCGACGCCGTGGTTGCATCAGGCTCTGTGGGGGTGGAGCAGTGGCTCGTCTGGGGGGCCTGGGTTTGCCCGTGGAAGGGATCTTGGAGCCGGCAGCTCCCACTGCCCAGCACGGCCTGGCCTCCCATCTCCTGGCCTTTCCTTAGGGATACAAGGCTTGCACAGATGAGATTTTCCCTTAGGATCTGCACCAGGGCTGGGAGAGGCTTCAAAGAGATTGGGCTGGGGTGATTTATGCTCTGCCTTCCGTCCCCTGGCCTACTGAGGATGATCTCAGCGCCAGCAGGAGGGAGCTCTGCCCCCGGCTGGGACATGCACAGCCCCCCTGCCGCTGCCATGTCGGGGGTCCCGAGGGTGGGGGCACCCCCCCCACACCACTGCTGACCCCTTTGAGTGGTCAGCCTGGGGGAGAAGCACTGTGGTGGTGCATGAGGCCCCTCTCTGAGGGCAGAGATGGAGGTGGGCAGTGGGGCTGGGTTGGGGGTTGTCAGAAATCCCCCCAGGAACAGCCAAGGAGGAGGCGAGTGAATTGTTGGTGGCCATCCCTGCTCCAGGGCTGGTGTGCATGGAGACAAAACAAATTCCTCTTTCACTGCCTCCTTGTTTACTCCTTTATCTCGCACCTCCCAACATCTGGTGCATCCAGTGGAGGTGGATGGATGCCTCTGAAGCAGTAATTCATCAGTGCAAACAGCAGCAGCATCCCCGTGATCACGGCTCACACGGCATTTCCAGCCTCTTGCTGTCCCCTGGCTGCACCCTCACGCCTGTCCCCTGGGCCACCAGGTGTGAGCTGTCACCAGGATGGGACAGGAAGGCCAGAGGGCAGCCCTGGGTGCCATCTCCCCGCTGTGGGTGTCTGTGGCACCCGTCCGAGTCGGCTGATGCTGATTTCAGCTGTGGAAATGTCTCGAGGCAAAACAAGCGTGAACTGGGGAAAGCATTTCACCTGGTGAACTGGCTGTGGGAGACGAAGGCTCTGAGATCACTGCCTGTTCCCCTCCAAACTGCCCCTGGAGGGCTCCAGCTTCCCTCCTCCATGCTCCCAGGAGCCAGTGCTGCCGTGGGAATGGATCCCTGCTGGATCTGTGCTGCCAGCAGCCTTGGGGGGCTGGAGCAGAACCCTCTTGGTTTTGGGGAGCTCTGTGTGTTGCCCCTCTGCTTGTCCCACTGTGCTCCTGGGGGTGCTGCAGTGATGGTGATGTGCTGATTTGCCTTGCAGGGGAGCTGTGCCCGCAGCTCTGGGACGAGGATCTGGTTGGGGACAAGTACGAGAACATAACGGGTAAGGAAAGCCCCTCTCACCCTGCAAAGGGGAGTCCCTGGGCAGCCCTGACACCCTGGGGGTGGGCTCTGCACCCTGTCTGGGGAGCGTCACGCTGTGCCAGGGCCAGGTCTCACCTCCTCCGCTCTGCCCTGCAGGTTTTAACCTGATTAAAAGGTTCGAGCTGCTGAAGATCTCGTCCATCAAGAAGGTCCGCAGCCCCCGGGGGCCGGCGGTGCTGCGGCTGGGGGCTGTGCCCCTGGTCCAGCCCACCCAGTGAGTGTGGGGGGCTCAGGGGGTGGCTCTGGTTGACCAAAGCTCCCCCAGGCCCCATCCCCGTGCGCTGTAAGGATGGAGCCCAGGGGAAGCTGGGTGGGCTTTGCCCTGAGCTCGTGCTGGGGACCCCAGGCAGCCCCACGGCACCCTGGGGGATGCAGGAGACCCCAGGGGCTGCCCAGACACCTTCCTCCTAGAAAGTAAATCAGGGGCTGTCGCAGCTCAGCTGGGTGGTGGCCAAGCCTTACGCAACCAGGGCTCTGTGGCTGCTCTGTGGTTGCGCTTGGCAGGCGCCCCTGGGGTCTGGAGGAGCTCAGAACGCCACAGAGCTCCAAACAGGCACTGTGGGGTCTGGGGGGTCTGCTGGGGGGAGGCACACGGAGCATGGCCCTTGTCCTCTCCGCCTCTGGTGCGTCCTGCCCGGCTGTGCCCGTGGCAGGGCTGGCAGGGACGCTGCAGCGTGGCGAGGTGGGAGCAGATCCACGTCCCTGGGAGCTGTTCCTGGAGGAAACTGCTGCGGTTTGCACGCCTGCCTCCTCCAGCCTGTCCCCACATTGCCCCAGGGCTGGCACGCAGCTACACCGGGCATGGGGCTCTCCTGGGGGAGAGGAAACCCGGCCCTGGCTCCTGACCTGGGCAGCCAAATCCTTAGGTGGCTTCAGGGCGGCTCCAGACTGGTGTTGCTCTTGGCTGGGTGCCTGTGGCACCCCAGATCCAGCCGTGGGGAGTGCCAAGTGGGGGGATGGACAGCCCTACCCGGGTTGTTAGCTCTAGGTGAGCTCCCTATGGGTGCTCATCCACCTCAGTGCCCAGCAAGAATGTCCCCGTGTCCTGCAGAGAACAGAGGGGACCACGGGCCCTGTCCTGCTCCCCATCCCTTGGTCCAGCTCCAGAGGGGTGGTTTGGAAAATTACTGGTTTGGAGCTGAGGCCGGGAGCGGAGCAGAACCCAGAGCAAATATTTCCAGTGGTTGAGTGGGCTGTGGGCGAGCTGGGCACAGTCCCACTGGGGAACTGCTATCCAGCCCACAGAGCCTTGGGGCTTGTGGGTGTATTTCATGGCTTCCCAGGGGAAAATTGGATAATGTGGGGATAAGTGCATGGCCCTGGTTGCTGCAGCCACCCCAGGAGGGAGGTGTTTGGGGTGCAGGGTGTGGGGCAGGGATGGGGATGGTGCAGCTGGGGCTGAATCCACCATGATGGCATCTGGAGTGCCACCGGTGGGGACAGAGCCTGGCAGGATTCACGGAGGGATTTTGGGGTGGTGCTGCCACCACCCTTGGTGCCAACTCTGGCACCAGAGCCCGGTGCAGGGTCTGGCCACCCCCTGACACCCTTCCCCACAGGCAGGTGTTTCCTCGTGGGCTGCCCCCCACCTTCACCCTCATCTTCACCTTGCTGCTGAAGAAAAACAGCACCGGGGAGCACTGGTACCTCTTCCAGATCACCGACCGGCAGGGATACCCCCAGGTACAGCCGCGGGAAGGCGGCGGGATGCACGGGCAGCACGGGGACAGCCAGAAGCCGTCCCTGAGCGTTGTCCCCTCTGTGCCCAGCTCTCCCTGTCCGTGCACGGCCCCGAGAAGAGCCTGGAGTTCCAGGCCAGGGCAGCGGGGGCCGCGTTCGTCAGCGCCGTGTTCGCGGGGAAGGCCGTGGCGTCCCTGTTCGACGGGCGGTGGCACAAGGTGGTGGTGGCCGTGCAGGGCCGCGCCGTCTCCGTCCACCTCGACTGCTCCTCCATCTCCTCCAAGCCGCTGGCACCGCGGCGGGCGCTGGCCCTGGAGGGAAACGCCTTCCTGGGGCTGGATGCTGTGCGTGGCACCCCGGTCCGGGTGAGTGCCCGTGGGGCGAGGGCACCTCTGCCCGCGGGGCTGGAGCCACCCCTGAGCTGCCAGCCCTGACCTGCCACCCCCACCCACTGCAGTTTGACATCCAGCAAGCCCAGATCTACTGTGATGCCGAGCTGGCCCGGCAGGAGGGGTGCTGTGAGATCTCGGCCAGCGGGGTAAGTGCTCCCGAATCCTTCACCCCAATCCCAGCTGGACCCTGCAATGGCCCTGTGCACGGTCAGAGGGTCCCTTGTGGGTCACCTCACACCCGTGGTGGCCTCATGGTGCCTGTCCCAATGGCCAGCGCGGGGTACATCCCTCTCCTGAGTCACACCAGGTGCTCGGGCGGGGCTCTCCCCTTGGCAGCCCCCCACCGACCCCCTCTCTCCCCAAAGTGCCAGACAGAAGCTCCCAAGACCCGTCGGCAGGCGGAGCTGATGCAGAGCAGCAACCTCATCGAGATGGTGCCACAGCCCGAGGGCCGCGTCTACACCCGCTGCTTCTGCCTGGAGGAGCCGCTGGGCACCGTGAGCTCCGGCATCCCCCTCCCGGTCCCCATCCCCGTCCCCATCCCCGTCCCCATCCCAGCACAGGAGTGGTCCCAGCCCCACGGGATGGGCAGTGGCTCAGCTGCCGTGCCGGGTGCTGCTGAGCCGGCAGCCGCACGGATCCAGCCCCTGGAAAATCCCTGCCTCACTCTTTCCACCGTGCCAGGCGAGGGAGGGAGCTGGCGGTGACCGAGGGCCTGGGAATGAGGGAAGGGAGGGCTCCTGTGGTCCCACCACTGCCTGCACTGGCCAGGATGGCCCTCATCCATGGGTGCCTCAGGCAGGATAACCTAGGATTCATGGAGAGGGAGCACCCAGGAGTGCACAGGTGGGATAACCCAGGGGTGCTCTTCTCTGTCCACAGGAGCCGGTGAGAACCTCGGGGAGGACCAGCCTGAAGGAAGATCCCAAGGGAAAGGTGAGGGGAAGTGCAGAGGGTGTCCCAGCCTGGCTGTCCTGGTCCTGCCATTCCCAGCTCCACTCCTCTTCCTCCCACTGGTGCCATCCCAGGGGCCCACCCACCCCCAGGGCTGGGTCTGTCCCGCGGCATTTGGGAACTTTCCACTGCTGCCAGAGCTGCAGGGATGGAAGAGCAGGGCAGAAGCGGCTGCTCTGCTCCCCCGAGCAGGAACTGAGGCCCCACTTACTCTCTGCTGCTGCTGGAGTGATCCCAGCTATGGCCAAGGGCCTCTTTGTTCCCTCCGAGCGTCTCCGGAGCGCTGCCAGAGCTGGGAAGCGTCTCCAGTGCTCCTGTTCCTCATCCCTGCGTGTCTGTGTGATCCCTGTCCCACCATGGGGATTCAGGGCTGCTGTGTCCCAGTGGTGGGATCCTGCTGGGGATCCCTGGGGTGTAGATCAGGTCCAGCAGCGTGGGCTGGGGCCCGTGGGAGCACGGGGTCCATCCTGCAGCCCCATCCTGCCCGTTCCCAATCCCATGGGAGCAGACTGGAGTGGTGCCAGGCAGGCACCTCTTCACCTCCCCTGGGAGCAAGCACAGCGGGTTTTCCCTTCTCCATCCAGGGCATGGGGAGATGCTGCTGGGGCAGCCCCACGGGTTTGGGGTGCCCAGGGGAGCGGGGCAGTGCCCACGGAGGGGTGTGTGCCATGGAGGGGTGGGTGCTGTAGGGTTTGGGGTGCCATGGGCAGTGTGTGGAGCCGGTCCAAACCCCCATCCCTGTCTCTTCCAGTGCCCGCCCTGCTCGGCACAGATGGCATCAACAAATGTGAGTGTGGCTCCGGGCTGTGCTGGCAGGACATGGGAACCCTAGCACAGCCTGGCTGGGCTGGGAGCTGGGGGCAGCAAAAGCCACCAGGGCTGCTGGCTCAGGGGTGTCCCCCACCCCTCTGCCATCGTCACTGGCCCCCCATGACCCATGGCTCCTTCTGGCCCGGGGCCCTGCAACATCTGGCTGTGGGGAAGGTCTCTGATCCCTTCCAGATGTGGCCCCATTCCTGCAGCAACCACTGGCTGGAGGTGTGGGGAGGCTGGTGGGGGGCTGGTGGGTGTTTGGGACCCCCCATGCCTCACGGGGCTCCTGAGGTGGCCCTTGGGGACAGGGTGTTGGGAGGATGGGGACCACGGCGGGGTTGGGGCTCTCCTGATACCGTTTGGAGCCACCATGACCCTGGGGGGCTCCGGGACAGCTTTCTCCTCTCTCCCCAGGTCACACTCGGCCCCTCAGGCCCAAAGGTAGGTTTGTCACCCCCCCAGGGCCCAGCCCCAGCAGGGACGTGGCCACGCTGTGCCTGGAGCATCCCTGCCTGCTGCCGTGGGCCCGCTGTGGGCACACACATGGGCATGGGGACACCTGTGCCCGTTCTGTCCCCCACACCTCCCCTCTCTTGCAGGGCACCAAGGGTGAGCGCGGCCTGCCCGGCACTGCCGGCGCCAAGGGGGACAAGGGCGACCGTGTGAGTGTCCCCGACCATGTCCCGGGTGGACACCCTTTTGTGGGGCTGATCCCTGCGGGGTCCTTGGCGTGCGGGGGTCCTGCTGCCCTGGGGGTGTTCCTGCCCTCCATGGTCCCCCACCCTTGGCCAGGGTGGTTCGGGCAGAGCCCCTGAGCCGCCTCCCTCCCTCCGCAGGGCGCTGACTGTGTGCGCACCCACCCCGGCGGCCCCGTGCAGGTGAGACCCCCTGACCCTCCCCGAGCCCCCCCTCCCCACCTCTGCCGCCCTGCTCACCTCCTTCTCCTCCTCCCCAGTGCGCTGAGGGGCCACGGGGCGAGAAGGGGCAGCGTGGAGAGGTGGTGAGTGACACTCAGCCGTGGGGACACATCGTGGGGACACTGCAGTGGCCCCCCCTGCGTGGCTGGTGTGCCTTGGGTCCAGCCCTGAGGGTCCAGCTCTGTGGGTGGGTGGTTGGGGGACAAAAGGAGCGGAGATCAGAGCAGAGGGGACCCTGCACGAGCCCACCCGTGGGCACCCACTTCTGTCCCTGCTGTTCCCACGCAGGGCGCCCCGGGGGCCGCCGGTGCTGACGGGCAGAAGGTAAGTCCAGCCCCGCTGTGGGTGCTGGCACTGCAGCAGGGACATCTGAGCTGTGTCTCCTGGGGTGGCAGCAGCAGTGCCAGCACCTGCAGGGGCTGATCCAGATAGCAGGGGTGATGGCACGGGTGATGCCGTGGGTGACAGCACAGGTGACATTCATCTGTCCCACAGGGCCAGAAGGGCGAGAAGGGCGATGGGGGACTGCAGGGCAAGCCGGGGCGCCCAGGGCGTGATGTGAGTAGAGCCAGGGGGTCCTGGGCACCCCCCAGGCACCCTCCGGGCAGTGGGGTCCAGCTGCAGGACCAGCCTGCCCGTGGGGTGCACACACAGAGCCTTCACACCCTGCTCCCCCTCCCTACAGGGCCGGCCCGGAGAGATCTGCGTGGTGGGCCCCAAGGGCCAGAAGGTGAGTGGGGGGTTTGGGGGGAGGAGGTGGGAGATGAGGCACCCGGTGGCATTGACATCCCCTGTGTTGTCTTCCAGGGTGACCCTGGCCTTGTGGGACCCGAGGGGCTGGCTGGCGAGCCGGGACCCCCAGGGAAGCCGGGCTCTCCAGGGATTGGCTTTCCAGGGAAGCCGGTAAGGACCCCCTGCCCAGGGGCTCTGCCCGGGTGACATCCCCAGTGGGCATTACCATGGCAAGGGGTGAGGTGTTCCAGAGCTAACACCACCCTCTGTCCCTTTCAGGGTGACCCTGGTGGCCCCCCAGGTCCGAAGGGAGAGAAGGTGAGCGGAGGGAAAGGGGTCCCAGCTGCCCCTCACTGCCCATGGGGGCTGGTGGGGACTGGGATTAGGAGCTGGATCTGCCACGGCTGAGCCAGTGCTGGCTGGTGGAGCTGCCACCTGCCCAAGCCCCAGCTGGGTGGCTCAAGGACCTGGTTTGGGGGGCAGGAAACCCCCCTGGGGGAGGGAGGGGTATCCTGGGGTGCCAAGGGCTGTGGTGTTTTCCTTTGCTGGGCTCAGGGTTTCCCATCTCTGGCTCCAGGGCAGCTCGGGAGCTCCTGGACCCGGAGGATCGCCTGGGACACCCGTGAGTACCGGGAGCCTGGAGCCAAGGCCCGGGGTCAGGGACGGGTTTCTTGGCTCAGGGTCGTGGCTGTTTGGCCAGAGCAGTGGTGGGATCCAAGCCCAGGAGCTGAGAGGGATTTGGGATCATCCAGTGATCCAGCAGCCTCGCTCAGGGCTGGGATCATCCAATACCACAACTGCTGGACAACTGGGGGGTGCTGGGTGGCACTGCCAGGGCTCCATGATGCAGCCCCATCCCCACCTTCCTCCCACAGGGTCTCCCTGGTGCCCTGGGGCCAAAAGGAGACAAGGTGGGTGCAGTGACAGAGTGGCCGGGAGGGGCTGTGCCGGGGGGTCCCTGGAGTGGCCCCCGAGCAGCCCCGAGGTGAGGGAGGGGCACTGTAGTGCCCCTCCCTCACCTCGGGGCTGCTCGGGGGCCACTCCAGGGACCCCCTGGCCTGGGCTGTGTCTCACTGTCCCCACCGGGCAGGGCGAGCCATGTGAGGTGTGTCCTACTGTCACCGAGGGCGTGCTCGGTGCCATTGGGGTGCCCGGCAAACCAGGACCCAGAGGAGAGCCCGGAGCACCCGGCAGGGATGGGGTCTCGGTGAGTCTGAGCCTGGGGGCTCGTGGGGTGGAGGGCAGAGCAGGGGCTCATCTCAGCGTTCCTGATGCTCCCTTTTGATTCCTCCATTCCCAGGACAGACCCGGCCCTGCAGGACCCAAAGGGGACAGGGTAGGTGACCGTGGGGTGGGCTGGCTTGTCCCCCTCTGGGGACACCGAGCAGCGTCCAGCCCGTGCTGGCAGCACCCAGCCCAGCTCCTGTGTTTGCTTCCCAGGGAGATCGTGGCATCCAGGGGATGAAAGGGGAGAAGGTGAGTGTCCAACCCTCTGTCCCACCCTCCCTATGAGCCCCTGCAGCCCCCTGAGCTGTCCCCTGTCCCACCTGCCCAGGGGGACTCGTGCCTGTCCTGCGATGTCCGTGTCCTTGCTGCGCTGCGCCGGGGTCCTGCCGAGGGGTTTGAGGGTGAGCCGGGGCTGCCGGTGAGTCCTGGGGCTGAGTGGGACACCCCGGTCCTGGGGGGACACCCCGGTCACCCCAGGGCTGCTGGGGGTGCTGGGGTGTGACCATGGGGGGTGTTCAGCAGGGTGACCTGGGGCTCCCCGGGCTGGCTGGGATCAAGGGTGACAAGGTGAGTAACTCCCACAGCCACCCCCCCTTCCTGCATTGCTGGAGGGAGTGGGAATGGCTGGATCACCCCATGGGGTCAGGGCAGCCTTGTCTGACCCTGTCCCTGTCCCTGCTCCGTTCCAGGGTGACAGTGGCCAGCTGGGACCCACGGGCAGACCGGTGAGTGGGGGCACAGGGGGGCAGGGGGGATGTGGGGGCTCAGGGTGGAGCCCAAGGGGGGCAGGAGCTGGTTTTGGGGGCCATGGGCTCACCTCTGCCGTGGCTTCTCTCTGCAGGGGCTCCCGGGAGAGAAGGGTGATCCGGGTGTGCAGGGCCTCAAAGGAGAGAAGGTGAGCCCTGCCATGGGGACCCCCAGGACCCCCCTCCCTGCCCTGTCCATGCCACTTCCCCCGCTGAGACCTGTGCAGCTCACTGCATGGGAGGGCCCTGAGACGGGCACAGCGGTGCTCCGGTCCCCAGAGCCACATTCCAAGCGGGATGTCCCTCGGCAGGGCGAGCCGTGCGGGCAGTGCCCTCCCACCCCACAGGCCCTCCAAGGGGCAGCGACAGCGGTGGCTGTGCCAGGACCACCGGGAGAAAGGGGCAAGAGTGGCCCCCCGGGCAGAGCGGTGAGTGCCCCCCATGCCCCCTGTGCCCAGTTTTGGGGGGATGCTCCAGCCTGATCCATTCCTCCGTTTCCCCAGGGCAGACCGGGTGACGCTGGACAGAAGGGGCAGAAGGTGAGAGGGCCTGGGAGGGGGTCCCAGCGGGGCTGGTGATGGCAGAGGCGGCTGTGACCTCTGTGAGCCATGTCCCTCCCCTCCCCATGTCCCCTCTCTTTGCCAGGGGGACGCTGGCAGCCCCGGGGACCCGGGCACGCCGGGCATGGCCGGTGTCCCAGGGCTGTCGGGTGAGCCTGGAATCAGGGGTCCAGCCGGCCCCAAAGGAGAGAAGGTGAGACCCTCATATTCTGGGGACCTGTCCCCTGTCACTGTGGTGTCACCCACCCCTCCATCCCTCTCCCATCCCCTCCTGCGCAGGGAGACCCCTGCGAGCCCGGTGCTGCTCCACTCGGGGACCTCTCGGACGTGGTTGGCATCCCAGGAAAACCCGGGGCCAAAGGGGACCAGGGCCCCCCTGGCATCGGCCAGCCGGGCAGACCCGTGAGTGCCCCCTCCCCACGGCCACGGTGCCCATGGCATCGTGCCCTGGGGTGACCCTGGTGTGTTTTAGGGGAAGCCGGGGCTGCCAGGGGTCCAGGGTCCTCCCGGGCTGAAGGGGCTGCAGGTGAGTGGGGTGCAGGGGCTGGGTTTGGGGGGTCCTGAGGACACCTCACTGCCCCTCCATCTCCCCAGGGTGAACCAGGACCGCGGGGGATCGGCCAGCCGGGACCACAGGTGGGTTTTGGGGTGCCCATGCCATGCCATGCCGTGCCGTACTGGGTTGCTCTGCCAGATCTCACACGCTCTGCTTTTCCCAGGGAGACCCCGGGAGCACCGGACCCCCCGGCACACCCGTGAGTAGCAATTTAGGGTGCCCAGTCCTGGGAGATGGGGCAACCACCAGCCCCCCAGTTCCTGCAGTGTCAGCCCTCCCTGTGGGCAGTGGCAGGGGGGTCCTGGCAGGCCCACCCTGGGGACCCTGCTGTCCCCTTGGCTCACTGGGGGGCTGTCTGGGAGAACTAACACCCTCTCTTGCCCCCAGGGCCCCCCTGGACCCCAGGGACCTCCGGGGACAGCAGGAGACAAAGGTGCCAAGGTAAGGGAACATCCCCCAGCCCTCTGTGTCCCCCCTGCCCCCTACTCCTGCTGTCCTTCCCCTGCAGGGATCTCCGGGGCCCAAAGGTGCCGTGGGACCTCCTGGACCACCAGGGACCAGTGTCACAGGGCCACCGGTACGTCTTGCCCCCTGGGATGGGCACTGCCACCCCCCAGCCCCTCAACCCTGGCTGAAAGCCGCCGTGCCAGGGGCCAAGCCAGGGAGCTTCCTCACCCTCCTCTTCCTCGCAGGGCCCCGAAGGGCAGCGGGGGCTCCCCGGCTCTGCTGGGCAGCCGGTACGTGCGTGGGGTGCCGGGGGGGCCGTGCCCAGAGCGTGGGCTGAGCTGGTGCCCCTGATGCTCGCTGTGGGTGGGGGGCACTGGGGGCCACCCGCTCATGCTCCATCTTTCCTCCTGGCAGGGGGAAAAGGGTGCCCAGGGAGAGAAGGTGAGTTGGGGGCCGGGTGGAGCCGTACCCCCTGTTCCACCTCCTGCCCCCCCTGCCCTCACCCCCTCTCCCCACAGGGAGACCCCGGGGAGTGTTCCTGCCCCTCCAGCCCCCGCCAGGACCCCAACTACACCGGGATGCCAGTAAGTGCCACGAGTGCCCAGGCTCTGCTTCACCCCCACGGGCACACCCTGATCCCCCTCACCCCCCCTCCATCAAATTCTCTTCCCCTTCTTCCCCTTCTCTCATCCCCAGGGAGCCCCAGGGCTGTGGACTGGGATGTCCTGGCAGCCACAGCCAGGTCCACAGGTGGGTGCTGTGCTGCATCCCCCACCCACCCCCACTCACCCCCTGCCTCTCTCTGATTGTGTTTTGGGGTCTTGCAGGGCCCCCGGAGCCCCTGGTCCCCCGGCCCCCGGTGCCCCCGGTCGCCAGGTGAGTGACGGGAGGTGGGAGATGGGAGCGGGTCTGGTCCTGCCAGGCTTTTAGCAGGGGCTTTAAATACCCTCTCCTTGGATTTAGGGAATGCCAGGACACAACGGTTTGCCAGGACTGCCTGGGCCTGCTGGAGACCTGGTGGGTGGTGCCCGTGCCCATGGCAGTGTCCCCTGTGCCCCACGTCCTGCTCCCCCATTGTGGGACAGTCCCTCCCTGCCTCCCTCCATCCCTCCCTCCATCCCTCCCTCCCTCTGTCTCTCCCAGGGGCCGCTGGCAGTCATGGCTGAGAGGAACATCGAGGTGCTGAAGGTGAGAGTGTGGGGACGTGTCACCTTCCTGCCCCATGGTCCCCAAAGGCCTTGGGGTGCCCCTGACTCCCCCTTTTCCCCCCAGACTCTCTGTGGGGACTGTGTCCAGCTCCAGGCAGCCTTGGGAGCCCCCAGGGGTGTCGAGGGAGAGAAGGGGGACGGGGGCATGCCAGGTGCCCCCGGCAGTGAGAGCTGCGCCCGCGTGAGTATTTCCATGCCTCTGAGTGGTAACCTTGGTGCCCAAACCCCCTGTTTTTTTGGGGGGTGAGGTGAAGAGATGCTCCCAACTCCCTGGGCCTCGGATGGTGTGGCAGTTGTGGGAGGCAACACGCTTTGGACACGCTCTGAGCACGCTTTGGGCACACAGGGACACGCTCTGGACACGCTCGGGGCACGCTGGTCCTGCTGGGAATGCAGGCAGGATCCCACATACAGTCCCTGCCTGCCCCAGTGGGGTTCCTGGGAGGATGACAGGCTTGTCCCGTTCCAGTGCAGGCTGGAGCAGGGGGTGCTGAGCCCCTGAGGGATGTGGGGTGAGGGGCTCCGAGCCCTGCTGTGTCCCGCGGCTCCTCCGGGGTGATCCCTGGGTGACTCCTGGGTTTTCTTCCAGTGCTTTGCCCAGTTCCCGAGAGAGGAGGAGGCTCGGGTGAGTGAAGAGTGTCCCCCCCCGCCTCTCCCTGCCCCTGGGGATGAGTTGATATCCCAGTCTGACTCCCTGGCCCCCAGGGTGCTGCAGAGACTGTATCCCCATTGCAGGAGCAGACGGGGCTTTGGGGGTAGAGGCTGCTTTGGGGGGCTTGGCAGGGCTCAGTGGTGGGTAGTGGGCAGTGGGCAGAGCCAGCCTGGGTTTCTGACATGTCCCCACTCCCTGCAGGGTGACAGCCCTGACACCGACTGTCCCGGCCATCCCGGGTTGCCGGGTGCCCCGGGCATCCCCGGTGAGAGAGGCGAGCAGGTGGGTGAGCTCCAGTCCATCCACAGACCCCTCTCCATCCCAGCCCTTCCAAGGGGCAGTGGCTGGTCCCTCAGTGCCCCTCAGAGCTGGTCCCTGTCCCCCCCTCCCCGTGGCACACCTGACACCTCAATCTCTCCCCAGGGCTCACCAGGACTGCGGGGACCCCCCGGACCGCCCGGGCCCATCGTAAGTACCCGGGGTGAGGGGCTACCAGGCTGTGTGGGCATCATGGTGTGGTCCTGCAGGGCTTGGAGGCCCTAAAAGCAAGTTGCCAAGGGGGCTGCCCCCGTGCCCAGAGGCCGTGGTGATGGGCAGAGGGACATGGCCATGGCGAGGTGGAGGCGCGGCATGGCCTGGACGTCCCAGCCTGGACATGGAGGTGAAGGTGCTGCCAGCCCGGAGATGGAGCAGTAGCTCTGTGGCACCCCGAGGGCTCAGCCCAGGCTCCACCATGCCTTTTCCAGGCTGTGACCTCCCTGTTTTTCCCCTCAGGGCCCCCCAGGCTTTCCTGGAACGCCGGGCGCACCCGGACTGCCCGTAAGGACCCAGCACGGCTCTGCTCTGTGCCCTGTGTCGCTGCCGCTTGGTTTGGCTGTGTCCCTTGTCCCTGTCCCCCCTGGGAGCAGCCGCAGCACAGCTGCCCCATTTCTCTTCCACGCCATCTCCATCCTCCCATTCCCACCCCCTCCATCCCAAAGCAGGGGGTCTTGGTGGGCTGGGATCTGAGAATGACCTTCCTGAGCTCAGGGATGTGGCGCTGGCACTCACCAGCCCTGGTGCCACGTGTTGGGTCCCTTCATCATCACGGGACCTGGTTCAGCTCAGCGGCACCTGGTGTGCCAGGGACCAGCCACCCCAGATTGGTGCCCCGTCGCAGCTCCTACGGGATGGGCTGGGTGGCGCCTTGGTGGCAGCTGCCCCCAGGGAAGCCCCTCGTGGGGATCAGGAGGATCCTCTGTGCAACCAGTGCTGCCTGGGCTCACTCTCCTCCTCCTCCTCCCTTGGTCCCTCCTGTGTGGTCATGCAGCCTTCACCACCATCTCCATTTTGATCTTCATCTCCATCCTCATCCTCATCTCCATCTCCATCCTCCTGCTCCCGCCCGCGCTCGCTCCAAGCAGGAGCTGGTGGCGGGGCTGTGCTGGCGGCTCTTGGAGGATCCGGCCCTCCTGCTCCTGTCCCCTCGTCCACTAATGTCACACGGTCTGTGTGGGGCTCTGGGGGGCTCTGTGGGTCGTCGCTCTGCCGTGTGCCAGCGTGTCCTGTCCAGCCTGTGTCACCTCAGCACCACGTCACCCCACTAACCCGCCCCAGAGGTCCCATGGCGTGGAGCCCAGGGGCTCCCATCTGTCCCTGTGTCACCCACTCCCTGGGAGCGTGGGAGGCTCCAGGCTGGGCCATGTGCTGGGTACCAGGAGCTGGGCACCCCACACAGCCCCCCAGGGCTGGGCTGTGGGTCCTGCCCTGTGTGTTGTGGGCAGAGCAGTGGCAGTGTCTGGGTCTGAGCACTTGGGCTTGCACTGAACGTGGTGCCCACGGCTGTGCCGTGGGTGGAGGGAGCACAGCCAGTGCCAAACAGGTCCTCCCTGGTGCCCGGGGGTCCAGGCAGGCTGGTGGAGATCACAAAACCCCATGGGCTGTGCCTGGGTCCTGCTGCCAGGCAGGCACAGCCCTGGGCAGGGGTTGTAGGAGATCCCCCTGCAGCTCCTCTCTTCTCCCCCGAAGGGTCTCCAAGGGGAACGCGGCCCTGCTGGGCTCGCCGGAGCCAAAGGGGAGCCGGTGAGTGGTGTGTGAGGAGGGGACAGGGGGACACTGATGCCCCGTGGGCTTTGGGCACCAGGCTGGGGCGTTGCAGGTGGCTCAACATCCTCCTCCTCCTGCATAGGGGCCTCCAGGACAGCCTGGCTACCCCGGTGCAATGGGCCCCCCTGGCCTGCCCGTGAGTACTGTGGGGAGCCAGGCAGGCTCTGCCAGCCCCCTTGGGGGTCCCCATGTCCCTCCTGGTGCTCACTGTGGCCCCCCCATCTTGCAGCTGGGGGACCCCCAGTGGGCACATCCCTGTCCCATCCATGCAGTCCCATCCCACACATTCCCAGTGCCCTGTTCCTCCCTGCCCCGTTCACCCGTGCCATGTGCATGCCCTGCCTGTGCCCCCATCCTTCCTCTTCCAAGTGCCATGTCCCCTCCCTGCCCAGTGCCCCGCTTTGTCCCCTCCATCTCCTTCCTGCCCCAGGGCATCAAAGGCGAGCGAGGCTACGCGGGCCCCCCCGGGGAGAAAGGGGAGCTGGTGAGTCCCTTGGGGGGGGGGGCAGAGGGGCTGGGGGCTCTCCCAGGTGCCCCCTCTCACTGTGGGCACCAGGGCTGAGGCCCTTCCAGCTGCATCCATCTGACCCCATTCCTGCCTTCCCAGGGACCCCCCGGTGTGGACGGGCCCCCCGGTCCCGCAGGGCCCGCGGTAGGTGCCCACCCTGACGGCCCCCAGGGGGCTGTGGGGAGGGAGGGGGGAGGCTGTGGGTGCAGTGGGGTGCTCCCCACCACCTCATCCCGTCATTCCACAGGGACCAAGGGGAGAGCGGGGGCTCCCGGGCAGCGCCGGCGAGAAGGGGGATCAGGTGAGCACCTCCAGGGGTACAGGGACCCCCAGAGACCCCCAGCGGGCAGGATGTGGCTCTCGGGGTCCTGGCTCAGCTCCCGTCTCTCTGCAGGGTTTCCAGGGCCAGCCTGGCTTCCCGGGACCACCGGTGAGTACATCCCCTGCTCCAGCACAGCAGGGTGTCCCCTGGAGGTGATGCCCATCCCTGGCTGTGTGTCCCCATGTCCCCACGGGGCCAGGGGTGGGGATGGAGGGTTCTACAAGGGGGACATGGGCACATCCCGTGGGATAAGATGCAGGGAGCAGCCCCAGGGCAATCCCGCTAAGGTGCCCGGAGGCAGCGGAATGTGTGGGCTGGGACCCCCCTCACTGAACACCCCCTTCTCTTTAGGGTCCCCCTGGCTTCCCAGGGAAGGTTGGTCCAGCTGGGCCACCAGGGCCCATGGCTGAGAAGGTGAGTGCCAGGGGTCAGTGCCACGGGGACGTGGCTGTGTGATGGCACTGCTCATCCCTTGGGCTGTGGCCGGGTTTGGTGCCCTGGCTGTGCCCGTGACCTCCTGTGGCTCTTACAGGGCAGCGAGGGCATGCGAGGCCCCACGGGGATGCCAGGACCCCCTGGACCCCCAGGACCTCCGGGCATCCAGGTAAGACCCTCCCCATGTGTCACCCTTGGGGGCAGAGGGGGCAGGACCACCCATGTCATGGTGCTCCCTGGAGCGCCGCTGGCTATTCCCACTCCCCAGGAACCTGTTGCCATGGCCTGGAGTGTCCAGAGCAGGTCCCTCAGGGACCCCCAGAGCCCCTCAGTGCAAACCACCCTCTGACATCCTCACCTTGTCCCCGCAGGGCCCCGCTGGCTTGGAAGGCCTGGATGGCAAGGACGGCAAGCCAGGGCTGCGGGTGAGGCTCTGGGACTCTCTGGGGTGCTGGTGGGGGGCAGCCACCCTGCAATGCCCCCCAAGACACTCCCAATCCATGTCTCTTTCTCTCCAGGGTGATCCAGGCCCCCCTGGGCCACCAGGGATGATGGGTCCTCCGGTGAGTGACAGCTTTCCTTGTCACCCCTCCCTGGCGCTCAGTGCCTGGCACGTCCCTGCAGCCAGGTCTGAGAGTCCCCTGAGCCAGGACTGTCCCACTGTGTGTTCCTGGGGACACTGAGACCCAGGGGGAGGAGGGAGTCCCTGGTCAGGGTCACCTGCCTCGCTCTGCTGGTGGGATCTGGGGCTCCCACCCAGCTCTTTTCTCTCTCCAGGGGTTCAAGGGGAAGACAGGACACCCAGGTCTGCCAGGACCAAAGGTGAGTGATGGGAACAATTGGTGGTGACATCCCCAGGGACCTGAGTCCTGGGCCAGGGTATCCATGCATTGCTCTGCTCACAATGTCCCTTCCTCCTTTTAGGGTGACTGTGGCAAACCTGGTCCCCCAGGGAGCCCAGGCCGGCCGGGAGCTGAGGTGAGTGAGGGGTGAGCTCACTGCTTGGGCACCGTGCAGCCTCTCCTCACCCTGCCTTCCTCATCACCCCATCTTCCTCAGGGTGACCCCGGGCCCATGGGACCCCAAGGCCGGCAGGGACCCCCAGGGCTCATCGTAAGTTGGACCTGCCCCCCATGGGGCACCAGGAGGGATCACAGTGGGAATTCCCTCTGGTGCGGGGAGTGGGGTCATCACACACAGCCCCCCAGCTGACACCCCTGTCTCTGCCCCCAGGGACCCCCTGGCAGCCCAGGACAGCCGGGTCCCGCTGGCCTCGCTGGAGTGGTGAGTCCTGGAGCCCCCACCACATCCCCAGCTGTGGGATTTGGGGTCAGGGTGGGGCTGGGTAGGTCCCACAGAGAGTGGGTTTGGGGGTCCCTGTGCCTCATCCTGTGCTGATTCTGGTGCTCCCGCCTCCCTCCTCCGTGCAGGGGCTGAAGGGTGAGCGTGGCTCCGTGGGGGAGCGAGGTCTGCCAGGGATGCCAGGCCAGCCGGGACCCCCGGGACACCCTGGACCACCGGTGAGTGCAGCACAGCCCAGGGACCTCAAGGACTGGTGACCGGTGGTCACCCTGTGGTCATCGCTGTGGTGGTCACTGTCTCACACTTTGGTCTCACAGGGGGAGCAGGGACCAGATGGACCCGTCGGCAAAGAGGTAGGAATGTGGGCTCTGGAGCTCTCCTGCCCTGCTGGACCCCCAGGGTGCCCGTGGTGGGGACATCCCTGCCACCCTGCTCCTTTGTGTGTCCTCAGGGTCCTCCGGGAAAGCCGGGCATTGCGGGACCGGCGGGACAGAAGGTGAGGGGAGTCTGGCTGTGTCACTGCAGCCATCCTGACATCTCCCAACTATCCTGACATCCCCCAGCCATCCCAGAACCCCACCACCCCTCAGGATATGGGGGCTGAGCTATGCCTCTCACATCCCCGCAGGGTGAAGCTGGATCCCCCGGTGAAAGAGGGTACCCCGGGGAGAAGGGCAGAGCTGGAATGCCTGGGGGACCAGGAAAGAGCGGCTCCATGGGCCTCGTGGGGCCACGGGGACCCGCGGGAGAGAGGGGACTCCCCGGCTCTCCGGGACCCGCGGGCAGCCCCGGGCTGCCGGGACCCCCGGGGATGATGGTAAGGAGGGGTGGGCCGTGGAGAAGGGTGGGGATGCAGGACCCTGTCCCCCGCGGGGCACGGTGGCCGTGTCGCCTCGTGTGTCCCCTCGTGTCCCCCCAGGGAGACGTGGTGAATTACGACGAGATCAAGAGGTTCATCCGGCAGGAGCTGAACAAGATGTTTGACGGTAACAACGGGGCGGTGGGGACGAGGTGACCCAACCTCCGTCCTCGCCGGCACTGAGCTCGTCCCTGTCCCCGCAGAGCGGATGGCGTACTACACATCCCGGCTGCACTTCCCGGTGGAGATGGTGGCGTCCCCGGGCAGACCCGGTCCCCCCGGGAAGGACGGGCTGCCCGGCCGGCCGGGACCCCCCGGTTCCCCAGGGATGCCGGGGCAGATCGGCAGAGAGGGGCGGCAGGGCGTGCCGGGCATGCGGGGTAAGTGCTGCTCCCGGGGGGCATTCCCAGTGTCGCTGGCGTGTTCCCGGTGTCCCCGGGGTGTTCCCAGCATTCCCAAGGTGCCCCCAGTGTCCCTGGGTGCCGGGGTGTTGCGGTCGTGCCAGGATCTCACCCCTCTCCATCCACGCCTCTTCCAGGTGAGCCGGGAGCCAAAGGAGAGAAAGGCGAGAAGGGCGTTGGGATGATGGGGGACAGCGGCCCCCCAGGACCCCCAGGTGAGCCCCCTCCCTCCGCGTGGCCACCAGCCCCATGCCGGGGCTTGCTGCAGCCCCTGCGCTTCGTACCACCTCCTTCTCTTCTCTCCGTCTCTTCCAGGCCCCCAGGGACCGCCAGGCTACGGGAAGATGGGCCCCCCGGGCCCCGTGGGGCAGCAGGGCATCCCCGGCATTCCGGGCCCCCCCGGTGCCACGGGGCAGCCGGGCAAGGCGGGGCACTGCAGCCCGGCGGAGTGCCTGGGAGCCGTGCCCGTGGAGCAGCCCCTCTTCCAGCCCAAGAACGTCAAGGGCCCCTTCGGCTGAGGGTCCCCGCGCTCCCCGCGCCCCCCGGCTTTGCTGTTAATATTGTTTCCCCGCTGTGCCGGGGCCGTGCCTGTCTCGGGGGGGCGGGATCTGGGATCTGGGATTGTACAGCCCCGTCGGGATCGCGAGGGCGGGTGGATCCTGCCCCCGCAAATACACCCGTGCTGGTGCCCCCGCGCCTCCCGCTCCGTGATCGGCACAGAGGGATCTCTGCGTGTCCTCATCCCTGTTCCTCTGGGATGCTGCTCTGGCCGGTCCTGAGGCCACCCCAGCTGGCGGCGTGGGCGAGCTCCCTGTGACTGATGGATGAGGGGGTCCGGGAGGAATCCCAGCCCTGATCCCAGGGGATCTTGGCCCTGCCTCAGGGGAAATCCCAGCTCAGCTTCTGGGCAATCCAAGGAGTGATCCTGGGGGATCCCAGCCCAGTTCCTGGGGAGATCCCAGCCCTGATCCCAGCAGATGCCAGCTGTGATTTGGGGGGATCCCAGCCCAGCTCCCAAGGAGATCCCAGCTCTCATCTTGGGATTCTCGCCTTGCTCTCAGGCTCATCACGGACCTGCTCTTGGTCTGATCCTGACCATGGCTGGAATCTCTGGGAATCCCAGACGATCCGCCAGGGCGATCCCAGCCCTGCTCCTAGCGGGGTGTGGGTCCTGCTCCCAGGGCAATCCCAACCCTGATCTTGGGGGGTTGCCAGTCTCACTTCCGGCAGATCCTGGCTCCGCTCTCAGGCTGATCCCGGCGTTGCTCCCGGGCAGCTCCCAAGGCGATGCTTGCGGGACACGGTGGTCCCGTTACCACTTTAAGGCCCCCCGAGCCCGCCCCTCCCGCGCGTTCCCGACTTCCAAAGGGGGCGGAGTCTCCGCGGGAACGCGTTTCTTAGCCAATGGGAGCGTGTCCTGCCAGTGACGTCACCGGGGCGGGGCCGGGGCGGAGGGCGAGCTATGGCGTACCCGGGACAGGTGGGACCGGGACCGGGAACCGGGAACCGGGAACCGGGACCGGGATCGGGATCGAGACAGGGGACCGGGACCGCGGACTGGGATTGGGATCGGGACGAGGACAGGCGGCGGCGACAGGGACTTAGGACCGGGGCCGGGATGGGCATCGAGACCGGGACCGAGACCGGCAGCAGCGACCGGGGACGTGAACCGGGGTCGGGAGTCGGACCGGAGGCTGTTCCGCGAGAGGGGGCAGGGGCGGGGGGCGCGGGGTGAGCTGTCACGGGGTCCGTCCCGGTGCCCACCTCACCCCGGCTCTGTGCCCTCCCCAGGGCTTCCCCGGCGCAGGACAGGCCCCCCCGGGCGGCCCCTACCCCGGGGCTCCCTACGGCGGGGGGCCGCCCCCAGGGCCCTACGGACAGCCCCCACCCGGGGGTCCCTACGGGCAGCCCCCACCCGGGGGTCCCTACGGGCAGCCCCCACCCGGGGGTCCCTACGGCGGCCCCTATGGCGGCCCCCAGCCCGGGCCATACGGAGGGCCGGCCCCAGGAGGTGAGTGCGAGGGTCTCTGTGTGGCGTTCCCGGGACAGAGGGAGGGTCGGGGGGGAGGTCCTCAGGTCGGGGGTGGGAGGCTGAGGGGGTCCCCAGCCCAGTCCCCGCCGTGTGCCAGCCCCACTCGGTGCCAGGAGGGGTGATCTCAGCTGCCCCTCGCCCAGCTCAGCAGAATTCAACGTGAGTGGAAGGCAAAGTCCCATTTTATTATTATTAGTTTAAAATCCTGGAGGAGGAGAAAGAGGAGGAGAGGGAGGAAGAGGAGGAGGGAAAGGAGGAGGAGAAAGAGAAGAAGGAGCAGGAAGAGGAGGAGGAGGAAGTGCCAGGAGGCCACAGCCCTGAGCACCGCCAATAAAACTTTACACCCCACATCCGTCCCCTGGCACTGCCAGGTTTATGGGGCAGCACTGTAGTTCCTTGTCCATCCTGAATCTCCACTGATTTACAGCTCCTTCTCAGCACCCACACACTATGTGCCAAACCCAGCCCTCCCTGACCTGTTTTCCCAGGATCCCACAGCCGTAAAACCCGCTTGGAGCAGAAGTGCTGACTGGCTCTGGCTGTTGGCCGAGTCCCTGTGAGCCAGTCCGGGGCACAGAGCAGCCCGTGGCCTCTCTGAGGGGGTGACACCACTGATGGCCTCTCCCCACGCAGGCAATGCCCCCCCAGGTGTGGACCCCGAGGCCTTCTCCTGGTTCCAGACGGTGGATGTGGATCACAGCGGGTTCATCTCCGTGAAGGAGCTGAAGCAGGCGCTGGTCAACAACAACTGGTCGTCGTTCAACGATGAGACCTGCCTGCTGATGATCAGTGAGTCTGGGGGTCTCCCTCCCCTCTTCCTGCTTTTAATCTGGTTCATTTGGGGTCAGCCTGTGCCGGGGTGAAGCCCATCCCATTCCCCTGTTCCCTGGGCATCGCTCCCCTGAGCAGCTGGAGCCAGGGCTGAGCAAACCGAGCAGCTCCCGGCGCCCTTTTGGTGGGGGAAATGAATCAGGGGCCCAAAATCCTGCTTGGAAAAGGGAACCCCAGCTCTGCCTGAGGCCGAGTGAGCCCCAGGTCCCAGAGAACCAGGGAAGAAAGAGAAGGAAAGCCCCAGTGACTGGAGACTGACCCAGAGCTTGCCCTGACAAGGCGTTAGTGCCGTTTCTTACCAGCCTCAGGGAGGGAATGGTCCCAGTTGATCTCAGTCGTGGTGAGGGGAGAAATTTGGGGTTGGGGGAAGCCATGGCACAGATCCTGGGCTGCCTGGGAGTCCCTGCAGCGTTTCCACTCCTCACTGCCCTGCTCCTGCTCCCTCCTGCCCAGACATGTTCGACAAGACGCGGACGGGGCGCATCGACGTGTACGGCTTCTCCGCCCTGCTCCGCTTCATCCAGCAGTGGAAGAGCCTCTTCCAGCAGTATGACAGGGACCAGTCAGGCTCCATCAGCTTCACTGAGCTCCAGCAAGGTGGGTGAGGGGCAGGGACACCAGCCTGGCCCCTCCCGAGCATCCTGGCTCTGCTCCAGGTTTATTTCCAGCCAGTGACTCCTCCCAGTGTGGTCCCTGCAGCCGGGCTGGGGGGTCTCTGAGCTCCTGGGGTGCATCCTGGGAATGCTGGGCTGTCTAATCCAGCCGTGGTGGCAGAGCTGGCACTGAGCTTCCCACGGGACAGGAGGTGACGAGCTGCAGCAGGGCTGTGGCACAAACTTCCTTCCTTAAGGAAGCCCAGAATTGCCCCCCTAAACAGAGTGTGGCTCAAGCCTGTTTTTCTGGGAGGAGCTCTTGGGCGTGTGTGAAGGGGGTGGAAAAACGTCTGGAATTTGTGCCATGGTTTGATTCCTCCCTCTGGGGAGCCCTGCCCATGCACACCCTCGGTGGGAAGTGTGGGAAGGGAACACCGTGGTGGTGGGAGGGGGCTCATAGGCCTGTAGACCCCATAGGCCCCATAGACCCTACAGGCCCTGTAGGCCAGATAGGCCACATATGCCCCATAGGTTTAAAGGTTGCACAGGCCCTATAGGGCCCCTAGGCCCTAAGCCCCATAAGCCCTATGGGGCTCCATAGGCCCTATAGACCCCCTGTTGTGTTGGGACATGGGGAATGTGGGACACGGGGTGTGTGCCAGCAGGGAAGGAGGACACAGCCGCAGTTTCTTCCGCCAGGAAGGCTTAATCCCGATGTTTCTTGCTCCCAGCTTTCTCCCAGATGGGCTACAACCTGAGCCCCCAGTTCAGCCAGCTGCTGCTGGCCCGCTACGCCCAGCACTCCCCCAACCCCAGCATCCAGCTGGACCGGTTCATCCACATCTGCATGCAGCTGCAGAGCCTCACCGACGCCTTCCGGGAGAAGGACACGGCGCTGGTGGGGAACGTGCGGCTCAGCTACGAGGATTTCCTGGCCATGGTGGTGACCCGCATGCTGTGACACCCCCTCCCAGGGCTGGCAGCTCTCCGGGAGCCGCAGCCATCCCCAGACTCCCAGTGGGATGTGGTGGGAGTTCCCCCGGGGCCAAATTTCCAGCCTGTTCCGCCCGAGGAGCCCCGAGTGCTGCTGGGGCTCTCCTGGCTCTGATTCCTTGTCCCCACTCCGTGGCAGTGGGTGTCTCCACGCCAGGCTGGACATGGTGGGGCAGCCAAAGCAGTAGCCTGTGCCATGGTGCCCAGAGAGTGCTTAGATCCCTTGCCGGACCCAACTTCCAACCTCATCCCTCTGCTTGGTGGGGTGTCTGCAGCAGAACACCCCCATTTCGGGGGTGAAGAGCTGAGCAGCAGGAAGGGGACAGGTGAGGACAAAGCTTGTCCTTCCTTCCCTCCCCAACTGCCCTGGGAGCACATCCAGCCCCTTGGCTGTGCTGGGAATGTTTTCCTGGGGGTCTGAGCAGGAATGGGATGTGCTGCTGCAGCGACACGGGATCATCCCCCACTCCCCCCTCCCCCCAGTTGCCAATTTGTCTCTGCTGAAGCCAAATTCACACACGGTTTAGAGCTTATTTTTCCAGCTTTGGAATAAAAGGCGACGTGCAGCGGCTGCCGCGTGGTCTGTGTGTCCGAGGGGGGTTCGAGGGGACACCGGGTGACTCTTGTGTCCCCCCCCATGGGGACAATGTCCTGTGATTGTATCCCAGCTCCCAGGGCTGGGTAAGATTTCCTGAAGTCGTCCCTTGGAAACTTTGTGGCAGTTTACAGAAACTAAGGGGCTGGGGGCTCCTGAGGTATGGAAAGATTTGACCAATGCCAAAGTTTTCTTCCCTGTGGTTGCCAAGCGATGTCCAGGAATTTGCCTCGAGGAATTTCGGGAGATTTTTGAGATTTGCAGGAGTTCTTATGAAATAAATGGTTAAAAGGCTGAGGGTGTGATCTGCTGCTTTCAAGAAGGAAAGAGCCCGACCTCGGTGTTTTCCTTGACCTCGGTGTTTTCCAGCCCAGGGCAGGACGGGCTGTTCCGGAGCATCCCTGAGCATTCCAGCAATATTTCTCCCCTGAGCATTCCAATATTTCCCGCTGTCTCCTGTTGAGTCAGAGCTGCCCTGCCCTTTGTGGGGGAGGAATTTGGGGGCACAGGGAGTGGGAGCTGTCCCCTGGCACTGTTTCTATCTATCTATCTATATACACATATGTATATATAGGGGATATATGTGGCATATATATATATATATATATATAAATGTCTATATTTTTATATATAGAAATATATATAAAATGCCCAGGGTGTTCTGATACACAAACATCAGACCTTGCACACACACTGACACCCCTCTGTGTGGGTGTACATGGATACACAGGCATGTGTCCATATTATTTATATATTTATATTTATATA